CACTCTAATATCCTTCATTCATTATCATTAAGTTCATGTCACATACCACAAGTTTGTATACGTGGCCTTGTCTCTTCAAAGTTTCAAGCTTTATCAGGAGCCCAGAGGATCCTGGCTATATCGACCTATATCCTGCAGCCTTGGGTCTCTAGTGTCCTTCTTCCTTCTTGTTGTCATGATGATGATGATGATGATGATGATGATTGTGATGGTGATTATTATTATGGGGGAAAGGTGGAAATAGGTTTACGGTCACGCTGTAATGAAAATCTCAACGAATACCAACAGGGAAGAAACAACCCAAATAGTGCGCAGAAAGTGGCTATTTACAGCCGCAGCAGAACTGGGAAAGAGGCCCTTTGATGAAATGGGAGTCTGGTTACCAGAGGGTGCCTAACCCTAGTCAAGTCAAAGGGCAACGGAATGATGTCTTTGCGATGACTCTTTCTAAGACTTTGCTTATCACTGATTTACCGGGCACATTACTAATAGGCCATTCCCGAGTTTGAAAAACCCTCACTTTCAAAATGAGGCTAAGTGCACAACCTTTCTTGTGAAGATGACTTTTATTTACATAAGAATGAAAAATCATTTCGATATCAAAGGCAGATAGCAGACCCGCCATGATGATGATGATTATGATTATTATTAAGGGGAAAAAGGTGAAAATAGGTTTACGGTCACACTGTAATGAAAAATCATTTCCATATCAAAGGCTGAGCACTTAACCTGGTTTTGCTACAGAGGCTCGGGGAACTCGGAAATGGCTAATTTCCTGTTTATTGTTATTAGAATGGCTTCCGTTCCCGCCATCCTTCTGTCAGTGCTCTTCTTCGTGCTGATTTTGATTGACGTGACCGGGAATATGTTGGTTTGCCTGATAGTTTATCGCCGGAAGCAGATGCGGAGGCCAATGAACTATCTCCTGGTGAACCTCGCTGTAGCTGACATTTTGATTGGCGTATTTATGTTGCCTAGACACGTGTTTCATCATACATTTGAACATCCCACAGGTAAGCTCAGAATAGGTGGATCACCTACCCCTCCCCTAACCCAACATTTTGCCCCTAGTGAAACAAAAAGGTTAACGTTGAGTAAGGGGAGGGGTAGGTGGGAAGTTTTCCAGAAACCTAAATTGATCCGAAAAGGTCATTGGAGGGTGTTTTCTTCTCTTGTCGTGTGAGGTTCTTTTATTTTTGTGTCTCAGTTAAATATAAAACATGTTCAGGCTGGAGAAGGGGAAGAGAGAAAGAGAGTGGAGAACGGTGAAAAAGCTCGGTCGGCAAGGGAGAGGTAGTATGACAATATACTGAGCTCTCCCTTCATATCTCCAACACTAACGGAAGTCCTATACAGTCGACTCTCGATAACTCGAACCTCGCGCCAACTCATAGAAATTTTTGTTTCCCTTCCGGATCATTCTATATAATTCTACACAGGAGATAACTCGAACCATGTTTTTTCAGCGCTTGACAAGTCGAAAAAAAGCAGTAAGAACGTCTGCAAGAGAGGCTAATCAGTAGTATTTCAGCTGAAACATACCGCATAATTGTGATCTAAAACCTCTGCACTCTCCTGTGTACCCGAAAAGCGAAAGTAGGCGAGACTCCAATGCTACCGGTATTTTTCCAATCCTCTGCTAAATTCATTTATTTCCTAAAAACATATCATTTTTTCTTCACATTAAAGGTACATCTGGGAACTATCTATGCAAGTTCATAACAGGTGGTGTGTTTATTTGGCTGAGCGCCGCTTCATCCGGGATATTACTCATAGCTATTGCTACTGCGCGGTATTTCGCGGTGGTCCATCCACTAAAGCGAAGACTCCGCTTGAAGAATAAACACGTCTTATGGATTATCGTCATATCTTGGGTCTTCGCTTGCTTATTAACAGTGCCGAGTATATCCGCGATTGTTTACAGCCCAAGCAAAGATTTCTGTATCGAGGAATGGGCGGAGTGGTACCCCAAGCGAGGTCACGTTGCCTTTGTATTCGTGGTGAATTGCTTGGTTCCTATCATATCCATGACACTTTTATATTCGAGAATCATTCATAAACTTTGGAACAACCACGAGCAGGTCACAAATTTGGTCCAATACGCAAGGCTGAAGGCTCGAAAGCGAGTCACATTCATGTTGATTGTCATAACACTTGTGCACACTTTGTGCTGGTCGCCGAATTATGTCCTGTATCTGCTGATTTTTTGCGTTCCCGGATTTTACTACGGTTCAACGGCTTATATCTTCACTGTTTTGTTAGTTCTTCTCAACGCAGCCGCTGACCCGCTGCTTTACATGTGGTACATGGAAGAGTTCAATAGGGGCCTGCGAAGCGTATTCTATTGTTGTCATGGTAACAGAGTAGTAGGCGTTCCCACTGTTAGAAAAATCAGTAAAACTCCTGTTGAGCTCGGTTTTTCTACCACTGTGGACCCAAACTAGCCTAATACCTAGGCCCGCCTCCTCCTAAGGCGCTTCGTTTTGCACTTTGGTCGCGAACAGTGGTGGTCGCAAGAAAGACAGGAGAAGAAGGGCGAGGGACGACCGGAAGGTTAATTCTGCTTTCTCCACTGCGGGCAAATTTACATCGAGAAAGAGAGACGTCGAGGTACAAGGCAGTCCCTAGGCCTCGTTTTCCCATGCGTTGAATTGGTTCTTTTGGATCACGTGGTCCAAAAGGATCGCTTGGATACGTCATCGAAACGGCCTATGAAAACGCCGTACAGGAACACAAGGCAAGATCGAAAGCAAGACCCGGACATGGATAGTGACAAGATCGAGACAAGTAAAGAAACCTTCGACAGGCTTCACAAAAGGTCGTCTGAGTCCATGTGACACGTCTCTGAAGACCGTAACGGGAATCTTTCTTGCTGTATCGCTAGTACTAGTAGTCCGCAAGATGTACAAGATAGTTTTAAAAGAATTGCGGTGCCCTTTCATTAAATTGTAGTAGAGTGTGATCTGCCAGTACTTAAATAAGTGTAACCACTGTCTGATGTTACAACATTTTTGTAGTTTTGACGATTTACAAAATGATTCCAGCTTTTGATTCTATTTTTTTGGCATCGAACTCTAAATCAGCTGACTGCGGAAGTTCAATTGTTTTCCGGCTATTTCAAATGAGATTTTAGCCCTTAAAATTTAATATTTTTTAGGGCTAGTTCATTCTGTAATGGTAAGCATTTTAACTGGCAACATATCTTATGGTAAAAGTAAAGAAAATATTGAGAAAAAGTACTTACGTCTTTGTAAGAGTGGTCAACGTGAAAATTCAAGTGCTTATTATAAGTCAAAAATCAGCGAGTGGCTGCGAATGGCTGGAAAAATTCAAGGCATGTGTTCAACCCTGCATAACACGTAACTTGACCTGTAAATAGGATGGGTACACTCTATTGACATTTTGATTGGTTTAAACAGCACTGTTGCTAGATGCAAAGCACAATCACATTTTAAAACCTCTGATTTTCAAACTAACTTCTTTGTAACAATAAAAAAGCAATTGTTTTGGACTGTTCTAAGCTCCACGTCTCTCTATTTTGAGAATTTCTCAACTTGAATCTGACGTTTACCGTTAAATCTCTCTATTGTAAACTTTTTAGCTGCTTTTTCAGACATTTCAACCCCTTCGAAAGGAAAATAGGGAGACTCATTTTAGCTTTGAAGAAGTTTATAGGAGCGCCGAAGGTATGCGCCTCTAGGGGGGTCTGGGGCATGTTTCCCTAGAAATTTGCAAATTTAGGTTCTCTCACGCGCATTTTGACATCATTTCTGAGTTGTTCTGTAAGACATTGTACGAGAGGAAAGTGTAACATGTAACGTTTTACCCTCAGATCGCAAAAAATACTAAAGATCAGGGCCCAGTTGTTCAAAATGTGGATAGCGCTATCCAGCGGATAAATCTCTATCCAGTGGATAGCGCAATTGGTTTCCCTAATACTTGTCCGTGGAATAGTGATTTATCCGGTAGATAGCACTATCCACCTTTTGAACAACCGGGGCCAGTCAATTTTTTCCCTTCTTTTCAGAATTTCATGATAAATCGGGAGAATCTGTTAAAAATCAGGAGAGTAGGAGACAACACAACAAATCGGGAGGGTTGGAATATCTGACTTTTCTGACATTGATTAGACTGTTCACAGTCCCCTATTTTTCCGTGTGATCGTCGAGATCGAGCGCGTCTTACCGTTAATTAATGGCGGCCATCTTGATTTTTAGATGTACCGAGGGGGCGGGCGTCGGGGATTATAGCTCTAGGAGGTTGGGGGCGAGAAAAATATTTTCTGTTTTTCTCGCCTCCTCCCAAACCGTTCCCCGGCCCCTAAGTAGATTTGACACTCTTCCCCAGGTTAGACTCGGTACGACTGAAAATCAAGATGGCCGCCATTAATGGTAAGACGCGCTCGATCTCGACGATCTCACGGAAAAATAGGGGACTGTGAACAGTCTAGACATTGATGCATTCCCTGCATTGTAAAAATGGAAAATGAAAAAACAACAAGAAAACAACTATTTGAAATAAACCTTAATTTAATACTACCAGGCATTCCATCAACCTCGTCCCCGCGTATTTTGCTCCCGTTTTCTAAGGGAAAAGCCCTGGGGACGAGTATCCCGATCTACTCGGAATTAACACCACTACAACACTCACGGAAAAATAGGCTCGTTTTTTTATCAGCCGCTGTTCGGCTCCGCATTGGGTGGCGGGAGGAAGGAGGAAAAAATCGGCGAGCGAAGCGAGACGAGAGGTACATAGTCGCGGCTCGCTTTGCTAGCCGAATTTTTCCTATTTGGTCCCGTTTCTTGCCATTTTTCCCCACTGTGGAGCCTGTTCCTGGGCTAAAATCGAACCCAAAAATCGTCCCACTAAAGATTTCACACCAAGTTGTACGTTACCAGTATTTAATTTCTAATTCATCTTTTACGAAATGAGATAATTTGGGTTACACAGACTCACCAGCCGGGATGAAAGAATCCCAGCGTTATTGCTAATTTTCGCTTAAAGCGGTGGAACTTAAAGACTATACTACCCATGTTTTCAAGCAAAAACAGAGTGGTTATCTCGATTAAATAAAACATAGATACAAGAAGCGCCAGATGCACATGCATTGACAAATCTTACAGGCATCTCAGTACGGCAATCTGGTTGTAACGGTAAAAAAGATAAAAGTAATTGGTCTGATGCACCATTCACGAAATTGTACCATTTGGAGTTTTAAATCAAAATAGCCTGTTCCAGGCGATCAGATGGTTGAGAGCCGCCCCCACTATCTGTACTCAACGCCTGCAACAGGCTAGAATCGAAAAGACCAGTTATTAAGGATACGAAGGTCTCTATTTCTTTTGCTTTTAAAAACGCTTTTGAAGCGTTAAATTTTTATTGTATTTGGGGTTCTTAGCTGAAACATAAATAAGATAGTATGTTATTTTAACCTTTTTAAAAATAATGTAAAAATGTTNAGTCGCGGCTCGCTTTGCTAGCCGAATTTTTCCTATTTGGTCCCGTTTCTTGCCATTTTTCCCCACTGTGGAGCCTGTTCCTGGGCTAAAATCGAGCCAGCCTGCGAACGCAGACTTATTTCCGGTCGTCGCTTCTCTCTTAGGGTGGAGAGAGGAAGCGACAACCGGGAATACATCTGCGTTCGCAGGCTAAAATCGAACCCAAAAATCGTCCCACTAAAGATTTCACACCAAGTTGTACGTTACCAGTATTTAATTTCTAATTCATCTTTTACGAAATGAGATAATTTGGGTTACACAGACTCACCAGCCGGGATGAAAGAATCCCAGCGTTATTGCTAATTTTCGCTTAAAGCGGTGGAACTTAAAGACTATACTACCCATGTTTTCAAGCAAAAACAGAGTGGTTATCTCGATTAAATAAAACATAGATACAAGAAGCGCCAGATGCACATGCATTGACAAATCTTACAGGCATCTCAGTACGGCAATCTGGTTGTAACGGTAAAAAAGATAAAAGTAATTGGTCTGATGCACCATTCACGAAATTGTACCATTTGGAGTTTTAAATCAAAATAGCCTGTTCCAGGCGATCAGATGGTTGAGAGCCGCCCCCACTATCTGTACTCAACGCCTGCAACAGGCTAGAATCGAAAAGACCAGTTATTAAGGATACGAAGGTCTCTATTTCTTTTGCTTTTAAAAACGCTTTTGAAGCGTTAAATTTTTATTGTATTTGGGGTTCTTAGCTGAAACATAAATAAGATAGTATGTTATTTTAACCTTTTTAAAAATAATGTAAAAATGTTTTACCACACAAAACAATTTTACGTATGTTTTAGCTTTGCCAGAGAAATAAAATTGATTCATTGGCATCAAATTATACAACGAATAAAATTCTTCTTTAAATTCTAAATATCCACGGTAAAAACAGGCGCTGAAGAGTTATATCTGGCATCTGTTTGCCCATTCTTTTTCTGCAAGACAAAAGAAAAAAAGAGGAACAATATAAGGAGAAAGCGGTCAGTCATGGTATGATTTGCCATATCATGCAGGCAGATTTAGCAAATATAAAGTCACCACACTGACGACTGCGCGCGCAGATCTAGAAACCGAATTGACCAATGGCAGAGCAGCAAATTCAGTATCCGAAGTGGCATTCAGCCCTTTCCGCGCGCTTTCGCTTTGTTTTTTTTCACGTTGCGTTGTCTTTACTGAATATGCCTATTTATATTACAGAACGTATACCACGCCTTAGACATTTAAGACGTCGGATCACTATAGGACTCCAGGAAATTACCCCCTCACCTGCCCCTCCCCTGCCCCTCCCCTGCCCCTCCCCTGCCCCTCCTCTAACCCAACGTTAACGCTAACTTCTCGCTTAGGGCAAAATGTTAGGCTAGGGGTGGGGTAGGTAAGTCGTCTAGTGTGAATAAGGGGGAAAGGCCGAAGCATTAAACGCTGGACAAATTAAAGGTCAGTTAAGTGCTTGTGATAAACAGACTACAGACTGGATAAGTAAGCAACTAGTTTCATCGGAATTTGAAAGTTTAGAGTGTTACCACTCCTGGGTTTTCTTTAATTTCACGTCCTCGCCTTTCTTTTCGTTTATTCCGATCAACCCTAGGATAACGTAACTCTACTTTTGTGAATTGAAAGTATTCTCACAATGATTTCCGGTGTGGTGTGAGGTTCCTGTGTTATTGTAATGTAGTTCAGTTGTGTGCATAAACTGTTTCTTCTTTCACGAGAAGCGATAAGTCATAACAAACATACAAACCTCTGTATTGAGTTTTCTCATTTCCTCTTTAAGGCATTCCAGCAAATTAGGATTCTGTTGAGCACTGCCTCTACGCAGTTCCTTTTCGTTGATATATTCACCATCATCTTTCTTGTACTTAAAAAAAGAAGAAGAAAAATTGAAGCAAATCCACTGCACTTCAAAATCTGTGACACTAAGGGCCTGTTTACGTGGAGGCAGGGGACCCAGGTAAGTAAGGTGACCCACTCAGGTGGAGTAACACGACTGTCCATATAACCTCTCATGTAAACGTGATCAAATTACCTCATTCATCAGGGCTCCCCCCACTTCATGTGTACAGGCCCTTAGTCAAGCAACAGAAAAAAAAATACCCAACCTCAATCCCTAAGTTTCTCTTCTTTTCGTCCCCAGGGCCCTCTTGCTCCAGGGGACGAGAAGAAGAGGAGGCGACGGGGAGAAGGCCTTTTTCCCAAAAGGAAATCAGTATGTACCTTTTTTATTGCGCCAGTAGGTCGGTCACAATAGATGCGGATCAAGGCGCCCCACTTTTCCAGGTGTGGATGAAGCTTCTACAAAAGAATATCCAACATCAGTACTTTGAGTTTATAAAAGGTAAAAAGATAATGATGATGTAGCCTGCGTAGCTGGCGGTATTGTGCGGGTGCGAGATTATAGTTTTGGCGGCGGAGCCGTGTTCCAAAAAAAAGGAGTAGGGACGAGGCGGTTGAAATAACGTGACAAAAGTGGGCGGCATTCGAAAAATCATGACTCTGGCAGGCGGTATTTCTCGCGGCTTCGCCGCTCGTGACGGCTCCGCCGTCAAATCTCACTCGACTATATTACAACGGCTCCGCCGCCAAATCTCACTCGACTACTTCACAATACCGCCAGCTACGCAGGCTAATGATGATGATGATGATGATGATAATGATGATGATGATGATGATGGCTGGAAAGAAGAGGCTGCAAAGTTGAACTTGGCACGGTAATGAATACACGGTCAACTCTCTCTAAAGGTGATGTTACATGGCACGATTTGCAACAACGATTTTTAGCGCAACACAGCGTTGCAAAATTGTTGCGACATTGTTTCGAATGGTAACATACAACATTGTTCCAGCATGGCAACGCTGTGTTGCGCTAAAAATCATCATTGCAAATCATCCCATGTAACATCGCCAGAAGTAGCCTGCGTAGCTGGCGGTATTGTGCGGGTGCGAGATTATAGTTTTGGCGGCGGAGCCGTGTTCCAAAAAAAAGGAGTAGGGACGAGGCGGTTATTTCTCCCGGCTTCGCCGCTCGTGACGGCTCCGCCGTCAAATCTCACTCGACTATATTACAACGGCTCCGCCGCCAAATCTCACTCGACTACTTCACAATACCGCCAGCTACGCAGGCTAATGATGATGATGATGATGATGATAATGATGATGATGATGATGATGGCTGGAAAGAAGAGGCTGCAAAGTTGAACTTGGCACGGTAATGAATACACGGTCAACTCTCTCTAAAGGTGATGTTACATGGCACGATTTGCAACAACGATTTTTAGCGCAACACAGCGTTGCAAAATTGTTGCGACATTGTTTCGAATGGTAACATACAACATTGTTCCAGCATGGCAACGCTGTGTTGCGCTAAAAATCATCATTGCAAATCATCCCATGTAACATCGCCAGAAGTAGCCTGCGTAGCTGGCGGTATTGTGCGGGTGCGAGATTATAGTTTTGGCGGCGGAGCCGTGTTCCAAAAAAAAGGAGTAGGGACGAGGCGGTTATTTCTCCCGGCTTCGCCGCTCGTGACGGCTCCGCCGTCAAATCTCACTCGACTACTTCACAATAAGGCCAGCTACGCAGGCTACGCCAGAAGCTGTTGGCACTGGTACTGTACGAGTCTGTTGTGGAGAGTAATGAAGTTTTGTAAGGACCAACTCTAGGTGTCTGTTTTTGTCTCTTATAAAGGGGTCAGAAATGAAAGCACTGATAAAATGGTCAGGTCAACTTATAAAAGTTAGATGTGTATCTTTTGCAGGTAAAATTTGTTCCCAGGTTAAATCATGATTTCCCTTTGAATAAATGGGGTTAGGAGACAAAGAAAACTCTGAATCAAAACTAAGGGCCCTTTCCATTTGTCAGAACTGGCCGGCTTGACCATTGCCCGACCAGTCAGTTTGACAAAGAAATAGGTTTTTTCCAGAAGGTTTAGATGAAAAACTATCTCCTTCGTGCATAAAATTTAGGATTTGACTGATGTTGCTGGAAAGTTTTGATTTAAAGTAAAATTATCATTGCGACAGGAACAGTCTGACTGGTCAGTTCTGACAAATGGAAAGCACCCTAAGATGAAAACTGGTTAAAATAATCTGCAAAGAGATTTTATCTACAACTACTCCACATAAAAGGAGAGTGGAATGTCAACGAAAACAAAGGTTGTACCTTTAAAATTTGTTGTGCAGCCAACTGCTTACCAAGTCGCTTGTTTTTACAAGGACCCTGAAAAGATAATTATTATGTCAATTGTGACAATGGTAGAACACAACAACTCAGCTAACACATTAATAACTAAGAAAAAAAATAAAATGAAAAACTTAGACTTTTTTTAGCCTGCAAAGCACCTGTGTTTTGTAGTGCGAACGATTTGGAAGTTGAAACTGACAGAGTATTGGTGCAAGTAAAAAAAAAAGTGATTTCAAGGGGAGAGGTTGAAGAGTCAAAAAAGAGGAGGAAAAGGGGAGAGGAGAGGAAAAATTTTTCTCCACCCCCCCTCCCTCTTGCCCGTGCCTCCTCCCTTAGTTTGTCAATTGCTTTCATGATGGAAGCCTCTGGGTTGCACTTTTGTTAAAAAAAGGACTAAGACTTCTTTGCACGGGTTTTCTTTTTGTGAGTGTTTGGTTTGTCAAATTCCTAGTGCATGCATTCCTCTCAGAAAAGCCTTAAGACACTCCTCCATTCTAAAAACTGACAGAGGGGATATGGCCTATTAGAGAAAGAGTTTTATACCATTGCTTCGTGTTTGCCACAGGTTATTTTATATGAGAGACTTCTGTCTGGCGCACAGACGGTTGTGAAGTTGATAGAAGAGGGACATACACCTTGGTTTCTGCAATTAAAAGAGAGCAAATTCAGGGAACCTGTTGATGGCTAAGTTGTGTTCCAGACTATGGTTAAACAGTTGACTGCAGAGGGAGAGATGGACCGACAGACAGACAGACAGGTGGATGGATGGAAAAATAGGTAGCCAGGCGGACAGATGGATGGATGGACGACAGGCAGACCGACAGATGGATGGAAAGACAGGCAGGCAGGCAGGCGGGCGGATGGATGGACAGATGACAGACAGATGGATAGATAGGCAGGCAGGCAGACAGATAGACAAAGAGAGAGGCAGGAAGACAGACAGATAGGCAAGCAGGCAGGGAGACAAGCAGATGCCCTTCAGATCGTCAAAATCTGTGACAGCCAGCCACAATGTGATAAAGCAGTCAACAGTTAGAGGCACAATATCATTTTAATTTATTAAGAAGCTATGTGGTTGTAAATGTCCTTTGCAATATTTTATCATGTTAACATTCCTTGTGTGTTGTATTCAATACAGGGGTTGTTGAAAAGACTCTGCACAAGAATGAGGACGAGCAAAAAATCTTGATGATGCATATACAGTCAGCTCTGTGTCTGCCCAAAAAGTGTAAAGGATTGGTCATATGAACAGAGTTTAGACAGTGTTTAACAGAATCACTTTATTGTACATTTTGATCTTTCCCAACACATTCATCTAAACACTGTTTATCAAGAACAGCTTCATGAAAGCATATCGCATAGACTAGAAAGGCACTTATCTTCATTAAATCACTAACTAAGGAAGAAATCTGGAGGTCCAAAGATTTCTTAAACCATAAGCTACAGCTGTAAGTTAGACATCGTTCAAATAACTGACTCTAAGTGTTCCTGTAAGGGGGATGTATGTCAAATAGAGGAATCTGTTAAGAGAAAGTTGATTGTAATTTCTTCATATTAAAAAAAAAGGATACACATCAATACATTCAACAGACCCTCACCTCTTTAAACATTCATCAAGGATTTGTGATGGATTAGGGAGTGTTGTCTTTGAACAGAACTCCGGAATGCGGGGATCACCGATGTCTATTTTGTCAAAAAACTGCACAGTGTACAAGCAAACAAATACATGTACATCAAGGGTTAATAAGTAACAATATACAACTTGCATAATTATCATAGAAGGGTTGTAATCCAACCATCATGTGCCAGACCTGTAGATGATAATATAGAGGCAAACAAGAAAGATGCCTTAGAGTTTTAGCTTCACGTATACAGCAAACGGCAAACCTCTGATTCAAGTTGAGAATTTCTCAAGATAGAAAATGGGCAAATAAAAACAGCTCAAAACAATTCTTATGGACGATAAAAAGTGCCTGAAACTATCAATTTATGTGTAGAAATAATGAACAGTAAACTAAAATTAACAGGGAAACTTGGTCATGTGGTAAAAATTCTCATTTGCCCTTTGAAGTATACATGAAGCTAAAACTCTCTAATATCATTTGGAAGTTTCTTGCGTGCCTTACCAAAAAAATCTAAAATAGCTAATACATTAAGTAGTGATTTTTTCTATTGCCCAGTTTTGTGAAGCCTTCACCTAATATTATTACAGTGGGTATGAATAAAAATGGTAAATAAAGATTTAAACAATTGAATTTAAGGAATTGAAATACCAGTTGTTTAAGATAGACAATCAAAGCAGGAAAAATCAAATTATCATAAAACAGTAAGAAAACTATCTGAAAAGATTTTTTTACTGACGATTCTTACTGATGATTTTTTCCTACCTCTAGTTCAGCTTTTGATATCTGGTAATCACGCACTTTGTTGAAAACTCCAGGCATCAACACTTCTAGTGTTGCCTCAGCAGCAACCTGTTTTGCTACTTTCTTGTTTGACCCTGTTCCAATTCCATACTTGATTCCATCTATCTGAACCTCAGCCATAAATGGTGTTTGTGCACTCTCGCATTCACTGGATAGATAAACTGGTTTAGTTTTGAAAGTTCGTTGACAGTATTCATGTAAAAGTGCTACTGGAGTTTTGCCTCCAGGATTTAGTAATAGGTCTTTGCCTGATTGCTTGGAATTGTCTGGACCTTTCAGTGCATATGGTTGACATTCTAAAGAAGCTGGCAGTTCAAGGTCATCAGAAACTTGTGGCTGGAAGGTGACAGCATTCTTTTCTTGGTCTGAAGTGAGAGGTTGAAATTCCCATAAATTTGAAAGATATGATCCTAGCTCTTTAGCATCTACTAGATCCAAAGGATGTCCATTGCTTTCTTCTACAAGTTTTTCAGGTTTCATAGATGTCTCATTTCCTAAACCTTCCTGCTGTTTAGAAGAGCTACAATCCTCTACAACTTGTGAGTGTTGTGTTTCCAAATCACTTCTCTTTGTCATGCCATCCTTTTGTGTCACATCATCCATCTCCACACTGGTCACCTCATTACTTTCTGTCACACCATCTGAATTGGCAAGACTCATGATCACATCCAGTCCATTTCTTTCCTGCCCCTCAACATGGTGTGCTTTCTCAATATCAGCATCCCCCTTTGGTGTCCCGTCATCGCTATTCATCTCGCTCATATTTAGTGCATTCAAAATTGAAGCTCCTTGCTTTGACAGAAAGCTGTCTTTCTCTTCATTTCCACCTTTGGCTTCTGCTTCCTCTAAAGCCATTCCTTTTTTTTGGTGAAAGCATGGAATGGAAGCTAACGGCACATCATGTTTCTGAAATGTTGATGGTACTTAGTTATTTATCTTATTATCATCACGGTTGTCATTAAGGTAGCTGATCATTTATCACACAAATCCTCCTATATTTGTTTTGCTTGATTCATTTTCAAACTTCAAAGTGGCAGGGTTGTTATAATGCAGTAGCCAGCTAAAATAGGGCTACTAATGACCCCTGAATAGCAAGTATACCTACAGACAATGTTGGTGGAACAAGCAAAGAGTACATGTATTGTACAAGTCATACACGACAGACATCAACTCTGCTAGTGTCTTATAATGCATTATTATATTCTTAAGGCTTTGCTTTGCTTTGCTTTGCCTGAAGAAGTCCCACTAACAATCTGTGAAGGAGGCTTACACAACCCCCCTGCCAAAACCTCACAATGAAATTGCACTCAAAGGTTATTATTGTACCTGGAATTCACAAGGTACCCAAGAGGAAATGTCTAGAAGAACACCTAGAGTATTTAATAAATCAGCTGTGAGCTAGCTGGAGTATTTAATAAATCAGCACATGATGAGAATACTTAATTTACAGGTGCAAACCAAACTAACTTTACACCAAAACCTCTTCTTAACTGCACCCCGGGCCTTTTTCCTCAAAAGACAGTAAGGTTTAAAGGGACAGTGTCCCGATTATGCGCACGCGCGAGCGTCATCTGTTTTTTCTTCAAAAGACAATAGAACTGTCAAATTTACTCGACAAGATTTCCTTCCGGACCGCACCGCCGACAGAGATTTGTTGTTTATATTCTCAAGTAATATTTTAGACTTTTGAAGAAGTCTTTCGTCTTATATAAAAATTTGGCTCGCGGTTCGAAGACTCATCGCGATTTTATCGCTAGCTGGGCCGCCTCGCGACCCGAAAATCTCGTTCCGCTTGCTTTTAAAACATATTTTCTAATTTGAAACTCGTGTCAGAGGTCAATCGCTCCAAGTCCAGTAATATCTGCCTGACTTGCTCGCGTTCTAGTCTCAAACGTTTGAAAGACAAAAATAAAAATGCAATCTCAACGCTATGAATCATCACAAAGGTTAGTCAAAAATGATATTATGATTTCATGCCACTAGTTTTTCAAAACATGTAGGGCCTGTTTGTTTGATTTTGTCGGCCGTAGGGAGATTCATTTAAAAGTTTACTAACGCGTCGTTGCAAAACAATCTGCTTCACGAAGCTCCCCTCCACAAGATCTCCTCAGTCACATCAATGTCTCAACGGTTTCTTTCTTACAGTCTTTATTGTTGCTGTTTCATTTCTGCGTATTCCTTTCACAATTATCTGAGCTTGTAAGGAAGCTAGCAGAAGAAATAAGCCTTCAATCGGCATCAAAGTGCTTCCAATCTTTTGGTCCTCCGGCCAACGGCAATAAAAGTAACGCCAAAAAATCCAGATTTTGCCCAAATCGAAACTTAACAGGAACAATATATCATTGATCTATAATCCTGAGAAGTTTTAGTGTCGTATTGAACCCGGCCAAGCGCGATGCAAACGGATTTTTCAAGATTCTCTTACTCTCCTCGCATCTTTTGATTTCGCGACATCCTGTCCAAAAATCAAAGTTTGGTACATGCGCAGTAACGGGATACTGTTCCTTTAACCCAGCGTTAGCCAAATTTTAAGCCCTGTTTTCTTGACTACAGGGACATGTAACCGAGCTTAGTATGAGATCCAGACATGATAACACAAAATTAGTTATTTTTAAGACAATCTACTGGAAGATAAACACAATCACACTAAAAGTTTAATCCTGGATTTGCTCTATTCTGCTTCTCAGGAAGCTGGGCTCTCTGGTACAGTAGATCAAACACTGACCTGATCACCAAGGTTTTTTTGCACAAAACACTTTTTTGAAACAAAGGTTATTTTTAGTCAAGGAGCTTTCAAAAATATTCAAGGACTTTTGAGAAAAATTGAAGGACTTTTAAGGATATCCCACAATTTTTCGATTTTCAAGGACTTTTCAAGGCCCCGGCAAACCATGAGTGCTTTTGGCTGAAGCAATGATAAATTATATTGTCCTGTCTCAGAACTATCTTCAGCTGTCTTACTGCACTAATATAACTCACTCATCCCACTTCACTTTATATTAGCTCCTTGCATGTGACAAAAATTGCCTCCTGTGGGCATTAAAGGCCAACCGGGGACAGTTTTAAGGCAAGCGCAAGATGCAGAAAAGTGAAAGGTGGGTGACCATAAAGATATATATAGACTTAATTTTATGTTTAATATCATCACTAATTTTATTTTTATCATTGGTACATGAAATAATTAAGCCTCAATATTATTAGATCAAAACAGATTCCCAAGATCACTTTTCAACAGATTCATTATGACTATGGAGCTGCCATTTAGCTGTACAGTGAAATTATATTAAGCTGTCTTTAAGGACTATAATGTGGAAAACTGGTTATGCAGTAATAAGGTTACTTAAAGAAATAAATTATGAATGCATACTTTGATGGTTTAAGAAAACAATCAAATGCTGTCCATGGTTTTCCAAGACACCAATTTACTAAAAACCAGTGAAATGGTCAATAATATAATTCTTTAAGCAAAATACATCACATATTTCACTAAAAGGAAAACGTATCTAATTGTCATGATGTTTTTCTGTCCTTAAAGCTTGTTTAAATGATAACTAGAATAATTTTAAATGACATTTTTTAAATTAAATTACCTGTATTTTTCAAATCATGAAATTTATTTTAAAACAACAACAAAATTTTAAGTAAGTAATAAGGTTTCCTTTCAATATATCAGAGGTTTCTAGCATGTAAAAAATACAACTTGAAGTCTGGATTAAAAAATGGAAATAAAGTTGATCATGATAATATTATTAAGATTATAATGGTGATAATGATAATGAAAACGACAATGATAATGATAATAATGATGATGATGATGATGATGATAAAGATACAGATAATAATAATGATGTAATAAAATTAATAATAATGAATCACAATACCCTGACACTTCCTCCACCAATGTGATAGGGGCGGGACCAAGTACACACTCGTGTTGGTTTATGAAGGTAGACAATTCCACCACTGCGATGGTTCAGTGCTATCCAGCCATCTGGTAGAGCCAGCTTTGGGAGACTACCTTTCACTAAGAAGATAACAGTTAACCTAAGAGGAAAAGTCTTTAAATTGTTCAATGAAAAAGGAAACTTAATCAGAATATCATACAGAGGGAAACAAGATATCAAATTTTAA